AGCAAGCAAGCAAGCAAGCAAGCAAGTCAGCCTGATATAAGGAAGGAATACATAATTACTGCCTTATCAAGGGGCAGGCCTTGTTTTGCCCAATAATGGAGCCTTAGGGCAGACTCTTTTTGAGTATAGTGGGAATGCTCTAGCTGAGCCCTTGTGCTATCCTTCAGGGGCCTTTATATGTTAAGAAGACTGACACCAGGAAATCAATACATATGGTCTTTTGATCATCTAATTTTAAAAGCAACCACTTCCTCCTAGCTCAACATGCAAGCTTGCATTTGTAGCATTTTGTCACTAAGGGCAGATGTTGGTCTTAATCTGTACAATTTTAGTTAAGGCACAGGATACAGAAATAGATTTTTAAAGGCTACTGTTAAATGTTGCAGCATCAGCGGAACATGCTATCTTATCAGCTACAAGAAGTCATGTAATTTTCCTAAAGCATAGCAGTTTCATAAAAGATAAATGGCTTTTAGTCAGAGTTGTCTGAGATAGGGTTAGCAGTGTCTATGATATGCATCATTTTGACATGTATATTCTGATATTACTTTAGTCTGTAGGATTAAGCTATGGATACTGAAGAAATATAAGGCTGATGACATACACTCTGACAAGAGCTATGTTATTAATATTCATTATCTGCATTTTTGTCCTTCTTTTGTCCTTGAGATTTGTTTCTGTAAATGTACAGGTGTCTCCCTTATAGAAAGAGAAGGCTGTGGCGCATGTCATAAAAATGTGCAATTCAAATGAATGTTATTTTGAAAGTAATTGTTGCATGCATGAGCTTTATTGTTATGTGCGGTCAAGTTTTCTCTGACTTATGTTGACCATTTGAATGAGAAATCTCCAAGATGTCCCCAGCAGTCCTGCTCTGATCTTGTAAACTCAAGCTGTGGGTTTGTTTAGGGAGTTGATCAATCTCTTCTTGGATTACCCTCCTTTCCTGCTGTCTTCAACTTCCCCAGCATTATTGTTTTTTTCCAGAGAATCCTGCCTTCTCATGATGTACCCAAAGTAGGATAACCTGTTTCAACATTTTTTTGCATCAAGATAGTTCAGGCTTGATTTGCTCTACGCCCCACTTGTTTGTCTTTCTGGTAGCCCATTGTATCCACAAAGCTCTCCTCCAGCACCATATTTCAAATGAAATCATTTTTTTCTTGACAGCTTTCTTAACTGTCCAGCTTTCACCTCCATACATAGTGATGGGAAATATAAGACTGTGGATAATTTTGATCTCCAGTGACATAACCCTACATTTGATTATCTTTTGTAATTCTTTCATTGCTGCTCTTCTGAGTCTCCGTTTTCTTCTGATTTCTTGGCTGCAGTCTCCATTTGCATTGATGATTGAATCAAGGTATACAAACCCTCTAAATATTTCAATTTCTTCCTTGTCAACGTCCAAGTTGTGTAGTTTTTCTGTAATCATAATTTTAATTTTCTTAATGTTCAGCTGCAGTCCTGCTTTGGCACTTTCTTTTTTTCACTTTCAGTAGAAGTCATTTGAAGCTATTGCTGCTTTCTGCCAGTAAGATGGTATTATCTGCATATTTTAAATTATTGATGTGTATTCTACCAATTTTCAGAAATGACCCAGGCTTTTCTCAAAAGATGTATATAAAGACATCTAATTAAAGTGGCCCTTTCATTTTTTTTCATTGCTTAGTTTAAATGTTAGCACATGACAATAACTGTATGATGGCATCTATGCTATCTTTTCAGAAAAATACCTTCTCTAAGTGCAAGGTTGGAGGAAACTTCTTTTGTCTTGATACAATACAGCAGCGATATATTTCACAGGACATTTCAAGGGTTCATATCAATCATTTAGACTCCTTGATATGTGAATTCTACTGGTGATATGTTGAGTATCATCAGGAAGACAACTTTGATGAGAACATTTAATGGTGTTCTAGATTAGGGATGGGGAACTTTTTTATTCTTGAGGACAACCCAGTTCTCCGGATATCATCATGAGGACTAGAGGTTTATTGTAGTACCCACCTAGTTACCTTACTGCAAATCAAGCTCTCATGGTAAAGCAGCTGATCTCTAGCAGTAAGGATATCACAGAAACAGAAAGCATACACTTGTGTGCTGTGAGCCGTTAGTTGAAAAGGATAATATTTCCAAATATCTCCCTAAAGATGCACATTTGAAGTTGTTCTAATGTCATATAAATCTAGAACCACTCATATAATAACCTGTAGAAAGAACTCTCTAGCAGATGATAAACCAGAATAGTTACAAGGAAGACTAAAAGTGGCCAAAGTCCAAAGAAGGCTCTTTGCTATTAATCCTCATGTACCAGTGCAGCTGTTTGAGTTTCCTGTATTAGAGCTGTATCTGTTTCAGAATCCCATATAGAACCAAACCTGTAAGGGAGGCATTGCCTGACATGATCACCATATTCTATAAGCCAAAAATGGCTGGGATAAAATGTGGGTTATTGTTGTGTATCCGCTAATATGTGGTGTGTGTGTGTGTGTGTGTGTGTGTGTGTGTGTGTGTGTGTGTGTGTGTGTGTGTGTGTGTGTGTGTGTAATGCGTGTGTGTGTGTGTGTGTGTGTATGATGCCAAGAGGCAGAAGAGACACAACCTCTAGTCAGAGTTGTTGAGATGTTTAGAAGGAACCCTTGGTCCTGACCCCTTTGTCTCTGCCTTCTCCATTCAAGCAGTGATGCAGCTGAAGAAGAGAGCATCCTATTTGCATATACATTCCATATGGAAGCAAAAGCCCACATCTTCATGTGTAGACTGTACACATGAGCAGGAACTTCTCGTCTTCAACAGGGCGGGTAGAGCTAGTCCCCTCTGTGTTGACAGCTCTGGTTTCTGTAGAAGATGAATAGAGTTGTATTCTGACTGTAAAGAACTTTGCCCTGTTTGGCAGGTGTCTGGAATTCTCAACAAATTCAAGAAATAAGAAGCAACATACATAAAACCCAACCCATACCCTAAAATCTAGTTCTAATGCTAACCACATTCCCAATCTGAGGGACCCTGGTGTTTCAATTACATCAGAAAATACCCTAGAATTCACTCAATGCAGTCTTTGGTAAGATTCGGATGACTGAACTTAGAAGTCCACCCACAGCAATGAAAAGGCCTTCAGGGAATTAACTTGGTGAGATGTGGATTATTAGGACATCCAAAACCAAATCTCACTTAAAGTCATATAGTGAGAGAAGCAGCTATCAGTTTACAAACT